CCCCAGTGTTATAAAGAGCCTTGGGGAAAAAAATTGTTTTTAGCAGTTAATTGCTGGGACCTGGAAGTAATAGAACGCTTCCCTCTCAAGTCTTCCCACCTGATATTATAAGAGAGTATTGTTTTTAGCGTGCAACATTTTTTCTTTTTCTTTGGATCTCTTAGTCTAAATAAGTAGTGAGCTTACTGGAAACTTACTAGTTAATGAAAGCTCTTTGGTGGTAAATCATTTTAAATTGGCAATTGCTCTGGCATGCCAAGCTTTAAAGAGGCAGTATTCCCATTCTTTCAATAAAAAAAATCAGCTGTGGTCTCTGACCTATTCATTTGGAGGTAAACTTAACCTTGCCAAGCATAAAAAGATTGGGAAGGCATACAGTTTCACTGGTCCATGCCATCAGATGGGACAGCCTTCTTCTTTGGAAAAGACTTCTTCAGTTTTTCTTTATAGTGTTTTTTACGTCAGCTATTATATTAGTTGCAGTTGTATTTTGCACAGACACTAATTAGAGAGCCATCAACATCAGGGTCCAAAGGCTTACTGACAATGCAACTGTCATAGTGGTGTCTTAATTGGGTGAGTGTAATTGTCATTAGGCAGCGATAAAGACATCTGGAGCTCTGGAGAAAAATCAGCCCTTTTTCCTACCTCCCTTCGACATCTATTCTTGCTTCTCCTGGCCAGTGTTAAGTGCTTTTACATCACATTTAGGGTTTGGTCCAGGTCCCTCTGCCCCAACCAGTGTTTCACCCTCATGAAAATGTCTTTCTCAAGCACAGGTTCATTAGCCCTGGGTCTGATCCCCACTGCTGTGGTTCCTATCATTTATGTTAGATTTTAGAGCCTGCTGCTGAGTCATCATGCAGTATACCTGCTGAAACAGGATATTTTTCCTCTGATCACATTATAAAGGACATAAAATCTTTTTTTATTTTATCATTGAGTCATTTTGCAATGGAACATTTATGTTACAATCATGTTTTTTGACCATGAAGAATGGAGTTAATTTAAATGAATGTCTATGGAAACATGTTTACCAAAATAAATGAACTAATCCCGTGTTTTATAGAGATTGGTTTTAATCAGTTTAGAAATACAAGAGGTCTAGTGCATATTGATGCGTGTTTTCTGGGTGTTTGTTTTTTTTTTTTTTTTACTTAGCAGAAGATGTTGATAGTGGAAATAAAAGGAGATGCCATTTAGAACTCAACCACCCTGGGTTAGTTACTTGTGAACTCCCTGTCAGTCACCACTTACTACTTATTAGGTGTGTGAAAGGCACTGTGAGGAAGCTGTGGCATTGAGATACAACCTTCTCAGCGACTTTGCGGTCTGGTTGAGGAGACAGGCACTGTAGCAGTGAACCCACTTCTTCGGCTGCCAGCCAGAGGAATTGGGTCAGAGTGATTGCAAGTGGTGTGGGACCATGCTGGACTTGAGGAGTGGGTAAGCTTGGGCTAGGTAAGTGGTCCTCAGTCTTGACTGCACATTGGAAGCATTGATGCCTGGTTCTACCTGCCAGAGTCAGGAACGTTGTGTGTGGGTGTCTTGAACTGTGATGTGCAGCCAAAAGTTGGGATTCACTGGGCTGGGTCATGAGGAGGAAAGTGTTCTAGAAGGATGGATAATGTAAGCCAAGGTTCAGAAATGAGTGTTTGGAAGCCAATGACACAGGCTTACATGAAGACCAGCTCATGCTCAGGAAGAGTGGAAAATGGACTAGGGAGAGGAATGGAAGATAGTTTGTGCAGTGTTTTCAGTGCTACACCCAGTTAATTGAAACCTCACACAATAAGATGTTAAGGTCTAAGTATTTATAAGGATTTCCTAGAGGTCTAATGCTATTCTAGTCTGTTTCAGTTCCTGGATCCACAGCTGTGAACAAGATACAGTCCCTGACTTTGGAGGTATATAGATTCACAGGGGAGATAAAAAGGCAGGTAACCATATACACAGTTGCCACCAGAGAAGAAGTCCAGGCTGCTGTCCCGGTTGCTCATAAGGGGCATGATTTAGTGTGGAGTGTAAAAGAGAAAGGGAGTTTTTCCAGAGAGTGATTTGTGTTTTTAAGGGCACATTTAGGACAGGACAATGGCTGAGAAGTATGGAGGCTGTCATGGTGCGGTTGTCAGGTTAAATGGGACAAACCCAGGGCACCAGGATTGGCCTGGTTGATAGGTCTTCACTGACACATCTGACTTCAGGACATAAGTCGGAAGCAGATACATGGTAAGTAACAGTAGCAACAAGATTTATGTAAGGAATGGGAAAAGAGAAATTACAGGCTGGCATGTGGCTAGATGCTCTTTGTCCTACTTCAGGTATTGTCCCCTGAGCAGAGACCAGGGTCTAAGCCAAAGTCACACGTTGCAAGCTGGTGGCTTCTCCATGGACACCCCTCCTTGTCAGTAGTCTAACTGCCTAAGTGGCAGCCCCCCTTTACTTCACTTCACCCTGCAAGACATCATGGGGTGGGGGTCTGGAAAACTCTGCCTTCTACCATTGACTTGGCGATGGGCGCCACCCACTGGCTCAGCAGCTGCTCCTGACTGTTCCTCTTATGGGGCTTGGAGGGATTTAGACCAGGCTGGTACCCCCAGGAATGAGAACAGAAAGGGTATGTCGACCTGAATGGATACAGCAGCACATATGGCACCTAGACTGGACAGAGTGGTGGGCGGAGGAAGTGTCCGGGCCCTCAGCTTTGCACCGGTGCTGTCCCTGAAAGAGTTCAGCAACACTCATTTGCCAGCGAACTGAAGCTTTTTGAGGAGAGTGTGTTTATTGTAGAGGTATGAGTTGGAGAACTTTTTGGAAGAAAAAACTCATCAGGAACCTTCTCTATGAAATCTCTGCCCTCCCTTTCTAAATCATGAGTAAAGTCAACAAATTTATCTCATAGGTTGCCATGGTATGCTTCAGCAGTCTTTCAGATTTTGTTTTTTTATTGTTGCTTTGCTCATAATTCCTTGTGTAAAGGGGGGTTCTAGAGCTCGAGCCCCTAAAACCCATTCCTCTGTACCATTCTGCTCTCCTCTGTGGCCTTTAAGGAGCGCCACAAAGGACCACATGTGAACTGCTCATGTGGCCCACTATACAGATAGCTACTAAGGCCGATGAAGAGGAAGCACATTTCCTGGTTTGTACACTATTTCCTCATTCTCTGATTTCCTAAATTCCCTTTCTTTAGCTTTCACTCCCCTTCTTTGTATTTCTGAAGGCATTGCCATTCATCTAGTCTTTCTTTTCTGGATTGGCTGCTTCCTTACACATGGAATTTAACCATCAGAATCTGATCACACACAGTATAGAAATTCAAACATGTTCTCTCTACCCAATGTCTTTGTAGCTAAGCAATTGGCTTTACACCAGGGAATAGCCTGAGTTGTTTTTGGGGTGTTAAGGTGAGCCTGGTAGTTGTGGTCCAGCAGGGTGGCTGTCCCTGTATTAGGGATAGGGTTCCTCAGTAGGAAGGGTCATTCAGAGGGCCTGGGACCGCTTTGGCCGTGGTGATACCAGGCTGCACCTCGCCTGGTGCACTGTGGCTGAATCTGTGGGAGCCACAGTATTTCCACATAAACACAAACATGAAGGACAGACACAGGGAAGTGCACTCGGGGAGTGAGCGCTTCCATTTCCTGGAGGATCCGTAGTCAGAGGAGGAGTGAGCACTCGGGGAGTGAGCGCTTCCATTTCCTGGAGGATCCCTAGTCAGAGGTCCACCAGCCCAATTTCAGAAAGTACCTCTCCTGTTTGCCTCTGTAAACCACAAACACTCCCTGGGCTCAGTCCTCAGGGGGAGAGCCTGCCTCGCCAACCTGGGCAATTGGTGTGACAGAGTGACCTCTGAATTGACCCTAATACATGTATTTACTTCAATGAATGAGGGGAAAGCCACTATGTTTAATAAATGAAATAATCCTGAATCAGAGTGTTCTTAGTTTCTTAAGAAACACCACATGAGAAATTCATCAGTAACCACTTACTGTGTACCATGCCCTAGATTTCAGTAATCAGATAGGTTTCAGCGGTTTTGTTCAACTCCTTACACTTTTTTTACACGGGACCACGGAAATCTGATGAAACAATGGCTTGGGCTTCAGGAAAACTGTGAACCCCCCTAAAATTATCTTCCTGTCTTTGTGTTTCTGTGGCTACATCACCAGGAGATTCTTAAAGCATTTCTCACATGCCTCTCCACAGTTGCTTTACGTGTTGAACCAAACCTGTAGCAGATGTCAGGAACTTGCATAAACACCTGGGGGGCAGGCGGTGACCACCTCGTCATCTGCTGTCCCATTATCCTGGGCCCGTGTCTGAGCGGGCTCTGGCCCTGCCTTGGCTTTGATGGAGAGAGTCATTTGTTGGAGTGGCAGTGGTAATAGAAGAGAGTGAGTGCTCCTGTTTTCTAAGTGGGCAAAACCGGGGAGTGTCGTGCTTTTCGGCCAGAGCCTTTCATGAGAAGGCAGCATTGTCTGGCTGCTAAAGGCAAGATTTAATTGTTTCAGCAAATCAATTAGTCTTTGGGGACTTTAATCAGTCAAATCTGATGCATGGCTGAGGTATTAGAAAGCTTGTGCCTGTAAGACCATTAGTCCTGAGAGCGCGCTCTTTCCCTGTGTCTGTCCTTCATGTTTGTGTTTATGTGGAAATACTGTGGCTCCCACAGATTCAGCCAGTGAGCCCTTTACTGGGGGAACTTAAGGTGGCAGGTTGATTATGGCGGCACAAGAGGAAAAACAGGGTGATCTTGATACCCAGTTACTTCTTAGAGTTTTCTCATTTGCAGTTGTTACCACCGTGCTGAGAGAATGTGGGACATGTTGCTGGCCTTCTGTTACCTAGTTGACATCTCTCTCCTGTTGGGCTTCCTCACCTGAGCAGCGCTGGGGAGTGGCGCCTCTCCGACCCAGTCACGGTTGTTTTAAGGCTCTTCCCCTTTCCTCCACCTAGCCTGCTCTTCAGTTCCCTTTGGAACCAAATGTGTCCTTCTTTTCCAGATATACATCAGGGGATGTGAGGGTGTGGGACACCCGCACCTGGGACTACGTAGCCCCCTTCCTGGAATCAGAGTATGAGGAGGATGAGCCTGGAATGCAGCCATATGTCTCCTTTGTGAGGATAAACAGCTCGCTGGCGGTAGCAGCTTATGAGGATGGTAAGTAACCACAACCCTCCTCCCTATTAAAGGAAAAAAATAAGCTTTACAAAAATTAAGCAGCTGTGGCCGGCTCCCCCCTGTAATCCCTCCATACATACACATAGGCACACACACATGTTCACACACATACACTCACTCTTGCCTTTATGTGAAGAAGTTGGCCAGCAACTCTCAGTGCATTAGTAGGCATTGGAACACAGCACCCATTAAAACTGGTGTTTAATTCCTACTGGAACTGTCGGGCTGGGTGTTAGTGCCAGACGTGAGGCTGGCCAAGCCATCTTAACCAAATAACTTGTTTGGTGTAAAATATTAAATATACTTGGCCTACTTTTCCTTCAGTGTTTGCTCAGTCCAAAGGGAACAGTGGGAAGGAGATAATGTAGATAGTCTATTGACAAAAACGGAAATAGAAAAATAAGTCAGTGCCTATCTTTTGGGGAAGCTTACATCAAGATAATTCATGGAATGTGTCATCTCACTGGGACAGGTGAAATTCTTTTTGTTTATGAGCAACTGTGGATTTATAGAACTAGGTAAGAATAGTCTAAAATTAGTTTTGTGTGACTAGTGAAATAGTTGACAGTTTCCGACTAATAAATAATAATTTCAATGATCGTGATTTCCTCCACTCCAGTATTTGTAATGTTTGGGTATCCGCAAGCCTTCTCCCCATTTTCCAGAGAGTTGGACCACAAGATGTTTCAGGATGTCGGCCTTCATGCCATGCGCTTCTGCGCGTCCTCAGGGTGAGCACAGCAGCGTCAGCTGGCTCAGCGGGGCCAAACTGCAGTAACATAACTGTGAGGAATTCCATGCCCCTACACGTTGGAAGCATTTGGGCTGAGATCTTGAAAATATTTTCATTTTATTGCTTTAGCAACATGAATTCCATTCTTCTGATTTGACATTAGTAGACAAATTGATAAATTATTGGGTTGTCGGAAAAAATCACGATGTGTTTTTTCTGTTTTTCAAGCAAAATGTGTCATGACTTTTCCAACACCTCAGTATTTTCTTTTCATCCTGTAGAAATTCTGCTACACTGTTCCTGTGGTGCATACTTCGTATGTTTATTGAGATCCTGGGTAGAGAACATAAGAGCTGCTTGAGTGTACTTGCTACTTTAGAATTATCAATGAGATTTTTTTTAGAACTATGTAAAGGTTGCAATACTTTTAAATTTGAATCATAGTTTTAGAATCATCTAATAGCTTCCCCTTACCACATACTCTTGCCACTTGGTCACAAGTTTTTCTTCAGATGGGGAAACATCTTCTTCAGAAGGCCAGCTAAGTGATTTGCTTAAGGTTGAGTTTTGAAGTAGTGACTCCAGAATCAAGATTATATTCTCCTGGGCCAGGCTGGGGATAGAGTGCTATTATGAAATAGTAAATGTGGAGACACTTGTACAAATGTGTATTTAACCCACCATGTTTCATATTTTTTTAAAAAAGATTTCTTTATGCATACAAGAACCAGGGTATCTTGTGAGCTTGAAGATACAGCTTGTGGCAGTATGCAAGTGTGTTGCTGATGTATATTGTCAGAATATCTGTTACTGCACAGAAATATTGGGGAGCAGTGTAGATATGATGAACTGCTTTCTTTGGCAAATACTTGGCAATACAGTTTACTCTTGAACAACGGGGTTGGGGGGGTCGGGGCACCTACTTCCCACTAAGACTTAGAGTTGGCCCTCCGTATACAGGTTCTGCATCTGCAGATTTAACCGATCAGAATCCACGGTTGAATCCATGAGTGTGGGACTAAGGGTAGGAAAAACCTGCATGTAAGTGAGCAGTGCACTGCAACCCCTGCTTGTTCAAAGGCCAACTTTAATTGCCAAAATATATTTTGTATTTTAAATGAAATTTTATGTATATAACATGGATTTTTAACATTACGTAAGTTCTAGTTTTACAGCATCAAAAAACTACACTGTGAGCACTGCACCCTGACTGCCCCCCAGAGTTGTTTCCACCCATCACCATGCACTCGACCCCCTTTGCCCTTTCCATCTTCTCCCCCCTCCTCCCTTCTGGGAGCCACCAGTCTGATTCCTGTATGTAGCTAAGGGTTCGCCCTGTTTTGTTCATTTGTTTTGTTTCTTTATAGTCCACATATAAGGAAAATCATAGTCATTTTCTTTCTCCATCTGACTTATTTCGCTAAGCATAATTACCCTCTAGATCCATCCAGGTTGGTGCTAATGGCAAGATTTCATCTCTTTGTAACTGAACAGTATTTTATTGTATGTATAAGTTACAAATTCTGTCCTGGCACGCCTCGGTGGTTTCTCTGACTCGGCGATTGTAAAGAGTGCTGCGGTGGACACGGATGCACGTGGCTTTTCATATCAGTGTTTTCTTGTTTGTTTGGATAAATACCCAGAAGTGGAATAGTTGGATTATGTGGACTTTGTTTCTTAAACTAAAATATAAATACTTGTTTTTTAAAAAAAAAATAGTTAAAATTTGAACAGAAAAAAAACGTATAAGATGTAAAGGAAAATGTATCTGAAACCCTCTCTCATTTTACACGTATGTCCTGTGCTTTTTGCATCTTGATATCTTTCCGTATTAGCACTTACAAACAATCTTACTCCATCTCAGCCTGCGCGGTACTGCACTGTGTAGCTGCACTATGATTTATTTATCAGGACCCTTAGTGATGCACATTTGGATTGTTTCTTTCTGTTATTAAAAACAATGCTGCAAGCAATATCCTGGAACAAAGATTGTGATGGGCTTGTATAAGTATGTCTGTGGGGTGAATTACTAGTGATAGCTGGGTTGAAGGCTACAGATGCTTTATGTTTTAATAAATATTGCCAAATTGCCCTCCAAAAAAGGCTTTACCATTTGTGGTCTCACCAAAAGTAGACCAGTGTGACTGTCTAAGAAGTACAAATAGTATTTCATTGTTGTTTCTATTCGCTTTTCTTTACAAGTAAATAAGAACATCTTTTAATTTTGTTACTTGTTTGTTACTTGTTTCTATTCTTTCTCTAGGAATTGCTTCTTCCCATCTTTCCCTATTTTCTTTGAGGTTATCGGTACTAATAGAAAAGAAAGGGCTAAGGAAATAACTTATCATAACTATTTCTAGTATTTTTTCAATCTGTTTATTCTTTTTCTGGATTGTGTGTATATGTATGTGTGATTTTAATTTTCTAATCCATAAACAAGGAAGTTTTGTAATTTAATGTTTTTGACTAAGTGGTACATTTTTATAAATAATCATAAAACTAACAGTTACGCATTGAGAAGTTTTGCTTCCACCCATTTTTGTTCACTCCATCCTAAAACAAATGTCTTAGAATCTTGTATTCTTCCAATATTTTTGTGTTGCACAATCAAGCAAATATGAACATTCTTTCTCCCCACCCACCTTAAATTAAGGTAGTTTATTACCTTTTATTATTCCCCACTCTCATGCGTTGGCTTTTTCACTTAATGACATATCTTGAAAGGATGTCCATGCCAGGGTTCAGGAAATGTCTCTCTGTCACGTCCATGTAGTATTCCATTGTGTACAAGTACTGTGTTTCATTTACAGTCACTTGTTGAAGAGCAGTTGTGTTGTTTCTGATCTTTTGCAGTAACAATGTTGTGAAAAATTATGTACATAAGACGTTTTATGTAAGTACAGAAAGGATAGTTTCCTATGACCAAGGGTTAAATGCAAATGGGGTTATATTTACACCCTTACCAGCAGGGTATAAAGATTTGTCCCTGTCCTCACAGTTTTATTCAGTAAGGTATGTTTCAAATGTTTACATATTTGTCAGTTTGATAAGAAGTAGTGCCTGAATGTAGTTTCAGTTTATATTTCCCTTACTGTGAGAGAGATAAAAATTGTCTTCATATGTGTACTGACCACTTGTGATTCTTTGTTTTTTTCCCTGATATTTCTGATATGGCTTCTTTTTTTATACAGTCATGCGCTTCTTAACAACAGTGATGCATTCTGAGAAATGTGCCATTAGGTGATTTTTATTTTGCATATGTCATGGCATGTAATCACACACACCTAGATGGTGAGCCTGCTGCACACCTAGGCACAACGTCAGTCAGCAACACCTGACTGTGTTTAAAACTCGATTGATACAGAGATCACCCTGGAAAAGTAAGACATGAAGCTGAGTAGATCTGTTTCCAATCTCTTATTAGAAGGCCCATCTCTCCTTCACTGCTTTGCGTGCTACCTTCGTAAGGTTTTTGGATAGGAAATTTTTAGTATTGGGGTCTGTTTCGGAATGTTATGTCCTGTTAAAATTGGTCTGTCTGGCTGTTTGCACATTCATCATCATGTTTATCAGTCTTGTCCTCCTTGGCTTTTACATCATGCTTGAGGGGTTTTCCTCACCCAAAGCTTACGGAGAGTCTGTAACACTTCCTTGGCTGCATTGCTTACATTGATGTCTTAGATTTGTCTCAAATTCATTTTGGTAGTAGGACTATTTCTTTGATAAGAATTCCTTTTTTCTTGTGCTTCTCTCACTTTCATCTGGTTTTACCAGTCTGACTGCAGTTGTTACTATTTCTGAGATAAACAACTTCTCATTTTCCCTAGACCTCAGGTAGCTTTGTCTTTGGTCTCACTTCAGTCTAACAGATTGACACTGATATTTATACCCACATATTCATGAGTAGCTACTTCTGAGCAAAGACAAATTGAAATAATCAAACGCACATTTTTGTATTGCTCTTTTCCAGGAGCAGCAAACTGGCACTCCTTAAGTTGACATGCAAAATGGGAAATTTACCTTGTGGTCACTGCTGTATAAAATATGTCATTGTGCCCTACAGAACAGAAGAATAAGATAATAAAATGAGTTCATGAACTTCAGCACTCTGTGTCAACAAGAAGCTCTGTAGTCGTTGAGACCCCTTGGTGGTCTGTACACCAGAGAAGGAGTGCGAGCTGGACAGGGAGATGGTAACGACTTTGGGGAAGTAAGTCATCGCTGCATCCTTTTCAGCCTCCTTGCT